TAGTATTTATTCCCCGCGAGACCATTTTAATTTCCTGTCCTATATATCACTGTGCATCCCTTGCCACGATGATGACCATCACAATATGCGCACTGCACCTATAATCTATAAATATTTTATTCACGATATAATATTGTATATTAATAACGATCCGTGTAGGTACCTGCATGATAATATAATTATATTGTCCGTTGCTTTTTGGAATAATAATATGTACAAGTGCCTGCGTATATGATAATAATATTATACTCGTAAACACATTGCYATACATCAAATCATAATATGAATTACTATACAAAACATGCAGCGGGGATTGGATTTTTAAAAACGTTGTTAAAATTTTTTTTTTCTTCAGCGATAAATCGACCTATAGAATTGTAAAGAAATTCCATATTCAATATAATAATATGTTCCGTATATATATATATATATATATAATACGTACAGTAAATTTACAACGAGGCAGCTGAGAGTTGATTAAGAATGCGACGGGCTACATGCAGAGGGGGCTTCAAACGTGGTATACGACTCGTGAAATAATATATATATGTATTGCATTATACATATAATATTATATAAATYCCTGCGAAATTATATTTTCAAAGTGTATGTATGGTATGATACAAATAGGACAGATATGTGGCGTGTTCATTGTTCGTGCGTATTTGACGTTGATCCGGTTTCTCGTGACTTTATATTATTATCGTTATTGAAACTCGTGTGTGGATCAAAAAAGAAAAAAAAAAGGGTTGTGTCCGCGACATGTTTATACTTCGTCATATATAAGGGATCGATTTCTCCGCATTCACGCCGCTGTTGTGATGGCGTGTGTTTACTCGGATTCGTTTCATCGCCTCTGAAAAAAAAAAGAAGAAAGAAGGAATTAACGAGAAAAATACATATAATAGTAAACAAGTATGAAGTATTATAATACCTACCCATATATTTTGCTATATTTGTGTGCGGGATCAAGACGCCTGCGTTCAGGTGTATAATATCACGATCTACCGCCCAGAAATAATGGTTTTTTGTTACGAAAATATCGTAAATATATGAATAGTGCATGTGCAGAGGCCAGAGGGTTGCGAGATTATATGCTGTATATACAAGCGTATAACGGGGTGTGCTATATTTACACTTTATATATTTTAAGAAAATATTCCGTGATGGATAAATGCACGTAATAATCGAATCATCTTAAAACGCATTAATGTAATAGATTGTGATAAATGGGAATAATAAACTAAAATAGTAAAATACTTTAAATAATAATAATAATACGTTCACAGTTTCACACCTATAGGTATGTGATGATCTGGTTAATCTGATGATCATTAACTGTTTTCATAATATTTCAATACAGTGAAAACGCTTATAAAATAAACATCACCTAATATTTCTGCGCAGTTCACAGCTAGTTATATAGTATACGACACAAAACATTGTGCAAAAAACACTGGTTTTAACTTTTAAGCGTTGTATGTGAGTTTAATATATAGACCAAATTGTTGTAAATTCAATATTGAACTTGTCATAATTTTAAAATTATAAATTACAAACTAAAAAGAGCGAAAAAATATTTTACGTARGTAACCTATATGCATTATAATATATGACATAATACTATTAATCTCGAATCACAACAATATAGTACACGTCATGCGATGTATTCGTAATAATATTTTTGTGTGCGTACACGCTAACRAGCTCTCTGGTATAACATCCGCGTGCGGACAAAGGACATAATGCGAGTGGCGCAGTGTTCTTATTTTAATATTATATGATTATGTTCCATTAAATCCTACCTATATAATATATTATATTATTATTATATGCGCGTGTATTTTATATAGGTGAATAATAAACTACCGCCACGACGTCCGCAAGAACGTTTCGCGATCATAATAATAATTATTATTTTAATATTATTGTCAATGCGTTTGTTTTGTTTATGATTTCGTCGTGTGACGCTAATGAGAAGCACACGTCTTGAGGAGAGCACGTGGCGCACGCGTTTCCACAATAGGTCCGAGTAAAAACAATGCGTTTCTATGCGACGCGATTGTTCTCGGTTTTCACGTCTAATTGGATGTCGGTAAACAAAAGGACTCGCTCCTGATCCCTTTTTTTTTTAGTAGCGACCGTATACGCGTATATCACTTGTATGTCGTCGTAAGTGAGTATGTCGAAGAGGGGTGGCACTTGATGTTCTCCTAGCACGTACCTACCCATTGCAAAYTCGTTTAAACAAAAAAATGTATAATATTATGATAAATTGTTATTTTAGGTACTTATCCATCGTCTCTGTCCCATTAAAGTTGATCGTTGCATCGGTACCTACGCGGTGCTGCGAGTGTATACACGCCGATAAAACGCCTTGTTAGATACAACATATCAGGTATACCATTGTAACGCCGATTATAATATATAAAGCATAATATCCTGTAATCTCCCTCATATTTTTTTTCTCAATATTTTGATATTAGAATCGAAGAGTTATAAAATAATAAAATCTAACCTAACCTATTATCATACTATTTTATTTTTATAGCTAATAATATTATGCACATTAAGATCTTTCTTATTATATTTGAAATTTCTATGACTAACGATATATACTTAAATTATTCTTTATGAGTAGGTACAATTAAAAATTGAAGCTAAACCTATCTAATAGGATTTTTAACTTAAATCAACTACGTATTCTATCCTATATATATCTACATCAATCGCTAAAAATAATATAAAATGTGTACTTAAAAAATCGACAAGATATGAATTCGCCGTATGTCTATAATATTATACTCGTATATTTATACGTTTTCTCTCGATTTCGATTAATTTTATATATAAACATAATGCTGCGGGTCGGCGACCGGCGTGAATGTCGTAAAAATAGGTCGTAGATTTTTACGGTCCTTCGAGCAGTGGTCCAGGTATTGTTAGATGATTACTTTCCAAACGAACGTTTATATTGTAATTGTGACGTATTATTATTATTAATATTATTTTCGTCGTTTAACGAAGTAGCGGCGTCGCGCACACGCCTTTGAAAACAACCCGCGGCGGRACGTGTGTACACCTACTTCGGGGTTTGTTGCGTTCCTCTTTCGGAAATTATTGTAATAATAATGACACTGAAGAGATGATATAATGTGACGGTATCGAGGGAGAGTGAAAAAAAAAAWAATARTAATAATAATAAAAAAAAAACAATTTTGTTTCGGCTACAATATGGTCGCAAGCAGTACAATCGCGCGGGCGAGGTTTGTAAATAAGCTGAGGCAGTTTGTGTCTTCGGAGGATGAAATTTATCGACGATTTCAGTACTGGTTACGAACGGCACCGTACCCATCGGTTCGTCACTACTCCTCCCCTGTGTATATATATTATTATAATGATGGGTGGGTGGGTGGTTGAGGGGGTCACATAAATCGACATTTACGGTCTTGTCGGCGGCCGTGTTTGAGTACGCGAGTATAATATCGTCGTCTCTTCTAATATACTTTGTTTTTTTTTCTTAATTTGCTAAGACCCCATACTAATTTTTTTTTATCGTGTTTTCTGCCTTTCGGTTTTGACCGACAAGCCGCCGATTTTGTCTCCTCGTCCTTACCCTTTGTAGCTCTCTCTCTWATTTCTTCCTCTCACTCATACACATACACTGCACTCTTTGTATAMGTATACGGACCGACCAAATTTATAATGACTAAACCCATACATGTGATACACATGTGATGTCTCTAAACCTYGATTATAGAAATTGTATAATTCAAATACAACACATAAACGGTTATATTTACGGCCATATCGTGTTGTGCGCGGATACATGATGATATTTTATTATTGTTTATTAAAGTTTTTTTGGTGTGTATACATGAAACTTTTATAGTATAAGATATTATATTATATTTTCATTATTTATGTTATGTAGAATATTCGGCAGTAAATAATACACACTTGTTGAATCTTTACATACATACATTTTACATACATACCTACCTATATAATTGCATAATATTTATTATGTAGGTACATAATATTATATACATGAGTGGTATACGCAGTGGGTTTGAGTTTTCCGGGCTAGAGAAAGGTGATGAAAATTATATTAGGTAAATACAATACAACTATCTTGTTTACCTAATATTTAATGTATTGTATTCAAATCGAATATTATTCATTATTTAAATACGATAATAAAATATATAATATTATAATACATACATTTTATATATGTATTGTCGTGTCTATCCCCGTCTAGTACTTTTTTTAAATTAAAATGTTTGAAATATAAATAGAGTTAAATAATTTATAGTAATTTTCAATTCAACTATATAAATGTAATAAATAATAATATGATTTTATCTGCAGTACRAAAAACATTATAATAAATTAATTCTATATTTCTGTACATATATACACTTTTTGTAAGCTCAGCTGGAAGAAAAAAATTAAATGAATTAATAAAAACCTTAATAATATAATCAGATAGRCTGTTCACCAATTTATAGAACTATAATTTTTGTGAATGACAATTATGATTTCGAAATCTGAAGCAGCTATAATACTATGTAACTGAACTAATTTCCATTTCATTCTCGAAAAATAGTTATACACACTCAAATATTGTGATGATGGACACTTTTAAAGCTGTTGTATAAGTAAGCGCAGAACAATCTGACTGAACGGTTTTTAATTTTCTTCGCCACAAAAAAAATATACTAAATAATATAATTTATATATATTTAAGCTCGCCGAATGACGACTGGAGCGTATATTGTTTCTTCCCGAAAAAATGTTTTCATCTCACCGTTGTGCTTCGTTTAAATCGTTTAATACTATGATAGAGTTATGTATAGATACACGTATAGTTATATACACACCTGTATAATATAATTGTTTTCCTCTTCGTTGTTTGTTCCTGATTACCAACATACTGCAGCACTCATACTATGYACTTGTGACTAATTTCTATCGATTTGTCTTTGCCCACACAGGTTCACATACTGTCACATTTCATAATGAACGGAGTGTGCGTCCGGTGGAAAGGGCGCATCGACTTGGACAAATTGGATGGCATCGGTTGTCTGGAGTTCGACGAGGAACGAGCAATGGTAAGTGCATATATTATATAATTGCTGTTRTACACCGAGAATATCATAGTACCCCCCGGAAACAATATAAATACGACACGTGTACAATTTTCCATCATAATAATATTTAAATTCAAAGACTTATATAGTTTTGATTTATTCACATAATAAGCGTCACATTTTTCTTCATCCATATGCGTCTAAACGCATAACGGCCATCGGCGGTGGTGGTTTTGGCCCACTGCTCAATCAGTCGCCGAAATTAGGTCATATTTTTTAAAGCGATTTCTCAAGTTAAACAATAATTATAGTTGTCAAAATTGTTATTAACGAACTGTTAAAAATTATAATATACAATATAATATTATATAGGTACAAAATATTCTGCAATGGTTTCCCAAAAACCGTCAGTGGGTGAATATCTTATCTCAACGATTTWTTTTTTATTTTGCTTGTTTTCGTTACGATAGATCGAAAACAGGATGTTGCAGGAGCAAATCGAGAGATACAACGACCGTATCAGAGAATATCAGGACAAACCTCGTGCCTACAGAAACCAAGAGCGTGGTGTTACCGATTCAGATTTAGACGTGAAAAGGAGATTGAACTATTAGATCATTGTATATACATACATACACGATACGGCGCGTTTCTACACAATATATAACTATATTACCTACCTATAATATTGTAGTGTGTTTGTGTTATGTATTTATGCGTTTGTGAAGTAC